ACAAATTGAACCTAAAACTTTCAAAATGGAAGATGAAAAAGAAATTGGAATAACTAAAAACCATCTTGGATTTATTGCCGATGAGATTATGGAAGCAATACCGCCCGAATGGGAGAATATTGTTATGATTGATAATGAAGGTATTAAGAAGTTAAGTTATGTGAAAATTGGAAGTATCACTTGGGGGGCGGTAAGAGAAATAATTGACGAAAATGAAAAAATGAAAAATCAAATACATCATTTAGAAAGTTCAGTTTATGAATTACAAGAAGCAATGAAAGAGTTAATGAAAACAAAGCCCAAAGCAAAAGCTAAAACTAAAGTTTAAAAAAATATCAGTATAAATATAGAATGGGTGGTAGTGCTTCAAAGAAAAATGAAGAAAATGACATTTTGATTTCATTAAAACATTTCAATCCAGAAGAAGAAATAAATAGAACGGAACTAATAATAAAATCTTTACAAAAACTAAATGAAAGGGTAGAAAAACTTGAAAAAGAAAAAAGTAATAAACTAATCTATACCATCCCGAAAATTGATATGTGTAATTATAGTCTATTCTAATTTAATAATATTATTTTAGTATATAATATTATTAAACTAATGATTGTAAATATTCTTGGTGTCTTACACTTATTCTTTCGTGTCTTTTCTTATTAGCATAGGTATAGGTCTCACCGCAAGGACAATCACAAACTCTGTTTCTTTTGTTTCTGTTTCCTTGAATGTTTTTGTGATAATTCCTCTTACTCCTTTCAATGTGAGGTTCAGGGTTTTCTTTGTATTTTTGTTTCTTCCTTTCACTTACCCTATCTTTGTTTTCAAAATTCCAGTTGTGCTTGTATTCTTTTGTGTGTTCTCTGTTGTTTTCTTCCCATTCTTGTTTCTTTGCCTTTCTTTCTTCTTCACTTGTGTAGGCTTTCATTGAGTTTAATGACGGCTTTAACTCTGTAATTAGGTCTTGTTCTCTTTTTCTTGCTTCCTTTGAAGTTTGGTAGTTTTGAGTTTCCAGCCATATCATATCAAAATTATCCCAGCCTTCATTGTCCCTAATGAATTTGTATAAGGGCATATTATGGTTTTTATCATTGGGGTTATTACACACTCTTTTGTGACATCCTTTTCTGGTCTTAAAGTCTGTAGTGTGTCCTATGTAAAAATCTTGTATGTTTAAATCTCTACATATTATTTTGTAGAAATCAGTTTTTGAGTAATCAATTGGTGTTTTAGGCATCACTGGGTATATAGTGTTAAAATGTTTTATTCTTTAGATGATTTCGTCTGTATTAATATGTATAGCGCGCTCAAACCGTATCATAAACATTTTATTAATATCACTTTCCCTCAATTTTACAAATAGAAATGAGTAGGGTTGCTCATCCACTGCTAATCTGTAAATTTGAAGCATCGTTTTTTTGTCAATCAGTGCTGACTGTTCTTGAATGAATGTATCCAGTTCTGCTTGGTTTTTCAACTTGAAGATATATAAACTACTTGTATTCAATCTTACTATAGGAGCAAGTGCGTTCAGCTTCTGTGAAGAAGTGATGACTGATAAACCAAAATGTCTTGATTTTGTATATAGTCCGTGTAAAATTTTAGAGTATCTCATAAAAACTCTATCTTCCGCCCAATCATCAATTATTAAAAGACAACTAAACAACTTGGACATTTTCATTTTCTTTTGATATTCTATCACCTTATGCTGTGTGTCAATGATGTGTGCTAATGCCTCAGGGTTGTATTCATCAAACAAATACTGCTCCTTCTTATTATCTACTTTCAAATCTTTCTCAATATATTTTATAACTTCCTTGTATGCTTCGTCAATGTGCGCTGTTGGTGAAACTATGTATATCCTTTCAAAGCAACCTCTGTAAATCTTCAACACTAGATTTTGTATTAATATGCCTTTACCACCTTGTGATGCTGAAACAATGATTGACCTAAAAGGTAGTTTATCTGCTTGAGGGTATGGCGACTGTTTGAATTCATATTGTTTTACATTGATAGGTTCTATTTTAGGTATGTCTAGTTTTGTCATTAAAAACAATTAGAAAATAAATATATTTAATATTATTAATGAGACTTTATACCGCACAGAAGAGGAACAGATAAAGACACATTAATCCATCATAAGAATGTTAATTAGTTTTGAGAATGCTCCTTTAAAGCGCCGACAAAAACAAGCAATAGAAGATGTGACAAGACTAAAGTCTTCTCAGAGCGAAGCTGTGACAAGACTAAAGTCTTCTCAGAGCGAAGCTGTGACTATATTTTGTGTCGCGAATTAGTTTGACAGCATGTTTTCCTTTTGGATTGAACCACATTTACAGACTTACCCAGAGCATACCCCGTCCTTTGGAAACAAAAATGCATGAAAAACAAATAAAAACAAATAATTAGATTTTACATAATAATATCTAATTATTTTCAATGGAAGAAATTAAGAAATATGTAGAAGCATTTGAAGAAATAGAAGAAAGAATAGTGGATGATGATAAATTTCCGATTGTAAAAGATAGTAAAATCAAAAAGTGTTGTGAAATGACATTAGAAATTATAAAAATATTTTATAACAATATACGGTTTTATATAGATGCCACCGAAGACAAAAGCAAATAGAAAGATGAAGAAACAACCAATCCCCGAGGATTTTGAACTATCTGATGACGAACCTAAAATGGTTAATCTAAGTGAAGAACAAAAATTAACAAGTAAAAATATTATTTTTGAATGTCCGTTATGCCATTGTAAATTACAGTTGCAAAACGAAATTGAAATCAATCCAAAAGGAATATCTTGTCGTTGTTCGCCCTGCTCATTCAAACTTACAAAAAACGATAAAACAATGAATGTTAGTAAAGACGATGAAGGGGGTATAACCTTAGATAGTGAAGACCATAGCATTAGTTTTAGTTTTAATCGCCAAATCACACCAGAAGACCAAAAGGTGGAAAGCACTAACAAGATGATTTCTGACGTTATAAATACTCCAAGAAGTAAGAAACAATTAACAATGGGTGAAATGGATTAAAAAGTTTGATAAAAGTTTTAAAATAAAATCTATAGTTTTATTATATACATGAGTTGTGATAATGAGAATGTAAGTGATACTAATCTAGAGAAGTTGAATGAGTTAACTAATAAACTGAATAGATGTAATAAAAATGTTAAACTAGTTCTAGAGTTATTACAGAAGTTACACGAAGCATCTGAAAAGAAACCACAGGGTAGTTATGTTGCTAAAGGAAGTAGTGAATACAAGAATAAAAAACACGTCTATTTAACAAAATTGAACAACAAAGAAATTAAGCAACCCCGTCCAGAGACACTACGATTTTATGAAATTGACTATGATGAAGACACTGAAATGTATTCATGACTATATCAAGAAAAACGAATGGAATGGAATGAAAATGAAGTTGGTTATTTACCTTATGGATGATTTAAATTATTTTTCTTAAGATAATTTAAGTTATTTTTCTTACCTATTTTTAGAAGAGTTGATAAAAGAGATATTTTTATCAATATAATATTAATCTTAAATTAATTTTTAGTCTAAAATCATTTAAAGAAATATTACATTAATATAGTATTAGTAGAAATGTTGAAAGATTTTTCAAGTGATGTTATTCAAAATATATCATCCTATTTGATAGGAGAACCTAAATATGTGAGATTAAATAACACTGAGGCGCTAAAAACAATACAAAATAAATACAAAATTACAAAACTCGGACCAAAGAGAAAGACAAAGAAAAAGTTAAATAGCACTACTATTGAATATTGTATTATGAGAGAAGATATACCATTTTCAGTGAAAAGCATAAACGATATTATATGCAAGCAACTGGACGAGTTAATGTATCTTCTGTATGACCAAGTAGAAGGAAGTGAGTTTAACGCATTCTTAACTGTTGATACATGTATATGCGCAAAACAACCCAATAAAGCATATGATGAAAATACATGAAAATACTTTTGACTTCTGTAGCATCACAGGGACATCACGAATATTTAACAGAGTTGATGAAGCAATGTATAGTGACTTAAATGAAATAGCAGAGGAAATTATAAACCAAGTAAATAATGAAAGTATTGAACATAATATTATTGGCATTCAATCATTTAATTTTGAATTAGTAATTGAAGAAGATTGAAGATGATTTAAATTATCTGTATTAAGATAATTTAAATTATTTTTCTTACCTATTTTTTTCTATGAGTAGGCATGATGCTAGGTTCGTTGCTATAACTCTATGATGGAAAATGAAGATGAAGATGATTTTTTTGATGGATAAGATGAAAATGAAGATGAATGATAAGACGAATGAAATGAAAAATGGAAACAATGAAAAATGAAGATGAATGAGAAAAATATTGGAAAGATGAATGATATGATGATGAAATGGTTGATGGATGGAAAATATGATGGATGAAATGATGAGAAAAATGATGGATGAAAAATGGATATGGTGGATGATATGATGGATGGATGAAAATGAAGCAACGAACCTAGCATCATGCCTAGTCACTACTATATCATATATTATATTATATATTATATTATATATTATATTATATATTATATTATATATTATATTTTAGCATATTCTGTTATATTGTATGTTATTATATTATATGTTTTATTGTATTATATAGTTTAATATATATTTTATATATATATGATATTATATAGTATTTATATGATATTATATTATAATATGTTTTACTATATATATATATGTTATATTATATTATATTATATCATATTATATTATATCATATTATATTATATGATATCATATTATATTATATCATATTATATTAAATTATATTATATTATATTATTTTGTTATGTTATGTATATATATATATTATATTAAATAGGATTATGTAATATTATATGTAGTTCTTATATTATATTGTACATAAAAATATCAATGTGTTCTGACTTGCTTTGGAAAACGGCTCGGTAGTGAGTTCATGAGTTCCACCTCTTCAGCTTCCTTCGCTGGTGCCTTCTGTGCCAAACGTTCGATGTACTGCGCAGGGATGACATGGTGATTCTGCTGAAGCACCATTCAAAATTATCCAACTCAGTAGTACTCAGTAAAACTCGGAAACTGTTTCTCCTCTTGGTCATGAGGTCGACCAGCTTTTACCACGGGCTCTGAAGCCTCAAACTCCAGCAAATTTCAATGTCACAACGTCACTGGAAACTCCACATTTGACTAACAATCTTGAGCTCGAACCTCTCGTCGAGCATTCTCGCGCCGCTTGGCATCTTCGTACAGGACCGTGTGCACGTGGGAAGGCTGGGAAATCTGGGGCCTTACCAGTACAAAATTGTAAACAGGTCGATCGCAATCAACAGGACTCTGTCACACTCTGTGACTCACGAAGATAATGACAATGCCAAATACGTTGAAAAATTGTTGAAATACGTTCAGGCTTTAGAGTGCTTGAAAACTTTAGATGTCTTCAGGTCCTGGCCGTGTTTCGACTTGCTTTAAGCTCTTCTGGAGCTTCAGCATCTCCTGGACATCTCTGATTCAAAGTGACTTCCAGGCACACCTGTTTGCGCTGTCATCCAACAAGTATGGAACATGAAACAGATTTTCAAACCTCTGCTGCTGTGTACATCTAAAGTTTTGTCCTCCACCTTTTTCTCTTGCTCTTCCTTTAGCCGTTTGAAGACCTCATTCTTTTCCCATGGCACTGGTCAAAGCACAACATGTCTGCGTGTGTGACGTGTGGCAATCTTGTTCCTGAACACGACGAAGGAGAAAAGCTGTTCAGTCACCATTCAAGAACCTGTTGACATCCAAGCTGCGGCAGGTGTCTCTGTCCAAACCCTTCTCAACGTCCGGATACCTGTGCATATGTGATCATATGTCTGAATCGTGAACTACGTCTTTTGTTCATGGTTCTGGCCAGCTTTGCTGTGATGTTTTGGAAGAAACTTGAAGAAACCATTGCTTTGACGAAGTGCTGCCACGGTACCACCTTTTTCCCGTCCCTTGCCAAGACCTTTCTGGTCCGCTTCTTGATCTTCTTGATCCTTCTTCCCTGCCAAGCCAGGCGAGCAGCTTACGATGCGGCCATTCATACTTGGTTGCGAGATGTGCATCCCCCAGAATTCAAGCCTTCCGAAATTGGAAGATCTTCAGCACGGGCTGCAATTAAGTAGAGCCACCTGGCATCCAGCCAGAATGAATAAGAAACCACTTGGTACCCCCAAATGCGCTGAGTCGTATTCAAAAACGAAGCAAGTACAGCAGTGGAGCAAAAAAACGCAAAACATTGGGCGGTGGACTTCATGGCGTCCACTTTCACCTCCGCAGAGCAAAGTCATGGAGTGGCAAGGCCTGCTTTTTCTTTGCTGCGACAAGGCGTGTCTGATAGGGTCCGGGCAACTGCCGTGGCCGAGTGATGAGAGTGGCCACACAGGCCTTGGCAGACGGACATAGGAATATTGGATGATCTTCGGAAAGGCAAACACCTGCACCAAAGATGGTGTTGAAATCATTTGAAATCAGTGATCCAATGAGTTCCAAGCCAGGTTGACCATGGCATAGCATTTCAAACAATATAGGCGCCTGAAGCCAATGTGTGACTGACACCTTGCTGGGACTGTTCTGACAGAATGTCCAGCCTCTGCAGGACTGGCAAGTTTTTGAATGGCTACGGCGCAAACAAATTCTCGGCGCGTAAGCCTGCACGTTCTGCCACATTTTGAGGTTGCAAGTGGTTGAGAGGAGAAGAACTGGCATCAGCAAACATTTGCAATTATACTACGGTTACCGTACGTATAAATGTTCCTAATATCCGTCACTTGTCATTCACGTGGCGACGTAACCAGTATGAGTCAACCAATTTCTGGCAACAAATGCTTGGTCGACTGGGCCTGGCCTGTGAGATCGATCCAAGTCCAAGACCCGCAGCATACAACTTGCCACCAAATCGGGAACTGCCAAAGCGTGCAGTGCACTGAATGCACTTGCGCTGACTATAACCCTATCCTAGGTCACAATGGTCATGTAAGCCCTCAAATATCATCATATCATGTCTCAAATCTCAAATCGTTTTGGCCTTCAGTGATGTGGTACTTCTTTGGGAAGCCTAACTCCAAACCTCTGGCAAGGAGAGCCGCTCGGAAGTTCATCAAGATCTCCTGGAAGACGCCCAGCCCTGATTCTTGTGGTGTCTTTGGGGCTGAAATCTTCTGATGTTCGTGAGGAGATTGCCGAGGCTATTGGTATTTCTTCACTTTTTCCCACGTGGCCAGCTATCCGAGTCATGACCACTTTGTGTGTAGCTGTACAGGTTAAAAGCTTGGCCGGTGCCAGCATCTTCGACGAGACACCGGCTTGTTTTGCATTAACATTGGGCAACGGCCAATTCAATGCCGCAAGTATCGAAGACTTGACAGAGAACATTATCCCCACAGCGTATCTCCAGGACCAAGCTCTTCCTTGTCAAGTCTGCACCAAAAGGCCAGGCATTCCGGGCATTCCCTACTCAACCATGGTACACGGTCACACAAGTCCTTCTTTTTGCAACTAGAATCACTAGAGCAATGATTGCAATGCAATTCGGTCCTTGACTGGAGGAAAAGACATCTGCACCGATTCCTCTTGATCATCTTTGGAGCTCAAGCAAACACCTCCATCCGGTAAAGGGGAAAATGAATCGAATTTACAAAGTCGTAGTTGAACTCCTATTTGGTCCCTGTCTGTTTCAAAACACTCTGCGCCACTCAACCTGATTCAAGCATATTCGAGCCATCAAAAAATATATATAGTGTGGTCTGCCTTGTCCCAGAAGCAACGTTTTCAGGTCTTTGACCTCTTCCATTAAGCAAGCCTTGGATGACCGAACTTTAGGGCTCCAGGACTTCAGCGGTAGCAAACCCGCAGAAATTGGAAGCAAAACATGCAGATCAAAATATGCGAATCGTCACAAATCATCACAAAATGTGTTGTTCAAATTATATCATTTTATCTCATGTTTAAGTCCTTAGTGGCATGCATGCTATTTACAACTATTTGCTTGCTCTCGTCATGTAGGCCTTCAGATGTTTTGAAATTCATCAAAGAATAGGTAGAGGATGTGTGGCGCTTTCATCACAACAAACCCATCCTCTCTTGACTTATTTGCTGCCTAGATTCAACATCAAGACTTCTGGCAGGGCCCTTCAACCGCCCCACGCCATAAATCAATTCCTCCAGTGAAACGGTACCATCTCCTGACATGTGCCATGCCCATGGTTCGATGTAAAGGATGCATCATTGTTTGAGCGGGCCACATTGACCTCATCCCTTGCATTGTCTTTGCGGTACAAAGATGTACAAAGATGCACAAACGAGTTGCGTTGGGTTAGACACCAGGAAGGAGATGTCTCTATGATAGGTCCTACAGTATGTATTGTTTTCGCTTTCTGGTCAACTATCCGTGAATGAATTCAGTTTCATCAGAGTCGAGGGATTTGTTTTTTAGAACATTTGCGCACGAATCAACATGTCTGAATTCTGTGCCAAAATGAAGAAACATGCACAGAAAAAAATGACCCCTTTGGATCCCTTTGGCACAATGTGTTTTTAAGACTGAACCAATCGATTCCTTTCAGGGATTACATCTCGGAACTGGATTGTTACAACCAGAAATGTTGTTGATCTCCAACGACATCAACGACCGATGGTTTCAGGGCCAAGATTCGTTTCACACTGTCAATCAAATTGAATAGTTTCTTTGGATCCGATACATCCAGTTCCATCGAGGCCAACCAAGCAGACACCTCCTTGTGCTCCGTCATTTTCTTGAACTCTTCCTAAAGTCATCTAAAGTCTTCAAAAACGCAAAGACAAACAAATTTACGACGTAATTTTGCACAAAGACAGGACACGAAAAAACACAAAAAAAAAACATTGCGTGTTCAATTCCGTAGAAATCCCCAGGATCCATGTCAATGCTTCCATTTTTGGACTTGTCGGCTAGGTTGAAGAACCGTTTCATTTTCTTCTTGTGCGTTTGCAAAAGCCGGTTCCGCTTTTGAATCATCACGCGGTCATCCGAAGAAGCGACGCTGAAGGTCTCTTGCATAAAAACCCCGTTAACCTGCAAGCAACGAATCACAGAGGACAAACTCGAACAGTTGTTGAACATGCCAAAGCTGCCACACAAAAAAAAAAACAGCACAAAACATCTTATCAGATCTTATCAGAAGGAGGGAACGAGAGCTAACAAGAATTTGTCTCAAGCAGAAGGTGGCGGGGCAAGGTCTTCTTGCCATGCCGTAGAGTCGCGTGTCCGTAGCTGTTTGACGGTCTCGGCTTATGACCCTCTCGGCTTGGAAAGTCCTAGAACAGGTCCAAGCCCACCGACGCCAGCTTATCCGTCTAATCCTACCCGGTCACCCTTCTACGATCCACACCACCGAACATATCTCCACGAAACCTCTCAGCTTGTAACTCTTTCGGCTTTACCAACAGCTCCAACAAAGACCTTGTTTGCAACCACCCCCTTCAATTGCCCTTCAATGTCAATCTTGCCTTATCACCCACTATACTGTATACTCTCTCGATCTTCTATGTCGGCAGTTCCAACAAGAATCTTATCTCCGTAGACCCTCTTAGCGACAAAGTAACAGGGCGTTGTGCACAAATTTCCCTGGCAACGCTATCGCTAAGCTAGTCTCCGCTCTCCTCTCCTTGAAAAACTGAATTATACAAAGAAAAGCCTTTACCACCCCCCCAAACCCCTCAATACTCACTGCCTTCGCAAAAGCAACTTCGCCTAGCCTGCCGGCGGGACGACCTCCCCTGACTTTTAAGGTGCCCCGCAACCCTCCGCTCCACACAAGTGATGCCAAAAGCACATCCTTGCACACCGAGAGCAGCCCGACTCTAAACTCCTCAGATGATCCCAAAACCATACCCCTCATGAACTTCCCCAAACCCATCCCCGTGGGGGCTGTCGTAAAAAGACTCATGCAATGGGAAGAGGGCTCTTCCTCACCTGCCCACAGAGGTAAATGTTGCTTGAAATGGCCAGCTTGCCGAGGGAGCTGGGTGAGGCGTAACATCCCAGTGAAAGATCTTTATAGAGAGCTGATCAGGCTGAGATGTGGCTGCAGGACGAAAATCTTTTGATCATGGTGAACTTTTTCAGCCGAGATACAACGCTCACCACAGCGAAACCAATTGCCAGTTTGTGCAGGACGCCAAAGAGCATAAACCACTCGGAGACGTTCTCAGCAAGGAGCCGCGATACTGGGGGCCAGTTGGCCAGTGTTATTTCAAACATCGAGTATATTGACCTTGGTTCTCTGAAGTCACTCTTGGAGACGACACCGCAATGAATACGTGTTGGCAGCAGAGCAGGTTTCTCTGAGACACCTTGTGAAGGTACCGAAATAGACGTATACAGCCTGTCCTCAGTTTAAACTAATGGATTCCGAAATGAACACATGGATACATACAGGCTCACATTGCGCAAACGAACAAGAACAAGAGATCATGGCTTGTCCGCTCCACTGCTTGCCAAGGAAGCTCTATCTGTCAAGGCCACAGACTCATCTGCCAAGTACGAGTTGGTCAAAACATTGGTGACCAAAAGTGCCAAGGCCATTTGAACAATGAAAAACAATACGCAGGCCTAGGGGTGAACTGGCGTCGCAGGTGTCAAGAAAACTGGACGAGATACCATTACCAGTGTGATAAAATCAATTTCGGACCAGAAACCCAAGCCAAAATGGAGAAGTTCCCGCGCAAAGCAGTTGTGATAATGTACAAGGCATCAAGGCCTTCAGGTGACAAAACATGCAAGATTCCAAAGTCATTGCTCTCATCCAGGTGCACTTCATACTTCGTTTTAGTCACATGGACATGACTTTGCAATGAGACTCAGGCTTCGAAAGGTGTGGAGTACTTTCAGTAGACCTCGGAGGGACAGACAATGGCGTTCAGTGGTCAAGTGTGAGACGTGACAACAACGTGACAAACTGTATTTTACAAGGTCAGCCAACAATGTGGTATTTTACCAATGGGGTGACCTACAAGCCGCTAAGCACTTGGCGCTGTTTTGAACCAACGCTACAGAGTAGTACGATGATATGTACAATACATGGTTTTACTGCAGGAGTTTTTACACCCCCCTCGGGCGAGCAGGGACGACTGCCGAGAACGAATAACCCAGAAGAGCATACCCTCGCGGGTAGCCAAATCTGTTTATTTGGTTTTGGACATTTTGTGCAGTCTTTCAAAGGTCCCTCTAAAAAGCTCAAGCCCGTAAAACCCAGCGCGGCTTTGCAAGGAAGGCACATTACCATGCCGCATCTTGCGCTATGCTACAAAAGAAAATCATCGTCTACCTGCGGTTCCAATAGATCCAACGGCCGCCGGCCTCGTCACGGTAATACCAAGCCCCACGCCAGAAACTCCATTCTCGACGTGCACCATAGTGATCACGATTCCAACTCCAAGAGGCATCCGGGCGACCGGAGCTTGCAGCCTTTGATGTGACTGTGCTTGCTGCTTTTGCAGTGGGCGGTGTCTCAGGCTCCAAGAATGGTCGTGCTCCTGCTTTGGATGTTGGTGGTTCGGGTGCAAGGAATGGTGCATTGTTGGGATCAACTGTGGCATCAACGTGCGAAGCGTCTGCGCGAGCAGAGCTTGAGGCGGCTGTGTCATCATGTGCGGTGGCGGATGCATCAACTTCGGCTTTGCGTTTTCGCTCGACGGTGGGCGCGACCGTGGGGTCGGCCTTGTGACCTCCAGGACCTCCAGCCTTTGCAGCGGCGCTCTGCTTTTCTTTGCGTTCAAGGTTGCCCCGAACCAATGGAAGGTTTTCCTCATACACCTTTTCGAGGAATTCAAGAGTGCCATCAAAAGGAACTTGGACGGTGCCCTTCCAGGTCAGCAGGCCACGGAATGCGCCACGACGGCCGATGTAGTTGACATATTCATCCTCTGTAAAAATGTGGCGGCCGAACATGAAACCCCAGACTTTCTTCCATGTTTTGCGGAACGCAACTGGGAACCCTTCCACACCTCGAGGCTGGGACATGAAAATCAACTTTGATAAGCAGTTTTCATTTTGGGCATTGGCGGCGACGCCAGCCGAGATCTGAGCTTTGGTCCTGGGTGGATCGGGGAGGTTAGCGTATGCGAACATATCGTCAAAGATACATTCCTGCAGGCCCTTCCCCTCCCCGTGGATGCGGTCGCAAAATGTGACGTCGCTGGCGAATCGATCTTCCACGTCCTCGTAGCCCAGCGCTTTTGCACGTCTATGCCTATCGCGGCAGTCTTTGAGGACTGCTGATTCCACGGATGATCCCCCTGGGGCCCAGTTCCCGGCGAAGAAGATCGGCTTGCTCATTTGTCAAAGCCGTCAACAAGCTGCCGCTCATTTTCCCATACATTCCGAACCCGGCGAGACTCTGCATTCGCCGTTCAAGGATACGGGTCCTCCTGTTGGGTTTGTCGGCCTCTTTTGTTTCGCCACTTTCGTCCACTGGGAGTGGCTCAAATCCACATGTGGTACAAGTCACCTGGCCACTGACGTACTCGACCTGGCAGAGGGGGCAGGAGCCCATGAAAGGTTCGCAGTACTTTGGTGCAATGTAAACACGGCGCGCCCTCGCGGGCGGCTGGTCAACTTGCATTGGTTCAGTGGCAGCATCATCGGTGGATTTGGCGTCATCAGTGGATCTGGCATCGGGTCGCCCCGTGCTGGTGTCATCCATTGGGTCGTCATTTGCATCATCGCGGGCAGTCAGGGTGACCGCTCTGGATTTCGGTGCTGAGGCTGATTCCGCGCCTGTCCATGTGCTGGGCTCGAGATTGCTCTCGGCGCGGGACCAAAGCACCTTTCCATCTTCTGAGATGCTGACCAGAAATTGGGGTGGAATGCGTTCTGAACACAAAATACCATCCATTTCTGTGCGACTAAAGATGACACCAGCTTCAACTGCTTGCCGCATTGCGATTTTGACTTCGACTGGACATTTTGCTCTTAATCCAGATCGATATCCCTGTGTGCCGATACAGTGTTCTGCCATGTAGATGTGAGCACGGCCACTGTTAACTGTGTCACCGCCGCCTGGGATCAGGCCGTTCTGTGCGATGCTCTTCCAGCTGCTTCTCATCGTGCGATGAAAAACAACTTCAGGGACCTCAGTCATGGCACACAAGGGCACGCCGGTGAAGGCGGCTTTTCGCTCGGGGGAAACTTGGTCTGAGCAATACACCATGGTTGAATTGGCATATAGAGGCCCCCTGCGGTCTTCAAGGCAGCTTGGGAATGACCCTGAATTGCACGGATTTTCACAGGATAATACGGCATGCCTAGGCCATTGTCGACAGGGAAATGGGAGATCTTTGCACACAAGAATTGGAACCTACTCTTGCCATGCTTGTCGATCTTCATTGCAGTGCCAAAAAGGTTTTGGACGGTGATGAACACGTCTGGGGGCACTTCCTTGCGGAAGGCTTTGGCGAAATCCTCCAAGTCGATCCAAAGGTCTTTGTCCATTGGCACCTTGGCACAGGATCCATGCCCCCTGCAAACTTTATTGACACGGGTCGCAAAGTCGGAGAATTTCTTGTCGACGCGAGTCTGGCCAGCAATGGTCTCGACGTCGGATGCCGATAGCAGTTCCAGTTCATAGGCCGTACCTTCAAAAAGGATCCCGGGTACATCGTCCCCGTCTGCATTGGTCACCATTGTATATTGGTATTCAGGCAAATGCTCTTCCATCCAATATGCTTTCACGTGGCCGGATGCATGTTCCTCTAAGCGCGCAGTTGCCTGCGGCTGGTACTGGCTGGATGTGGCTCTTTTGTCATCTGCGGGCTCATCCAATGGGACTGGTGCTGCTTTCGGTCGCGACTTCAACAAGACCTCAGCCGTTTGGACCAGGATTGTTGCTCTGCTGGGTGCAGCGGGCTCGCCGTCGCCGGCGGCCTTTGGAGGGTCATCTTTGGGAGGCTCAGCAAAAGTTCCAGAAGGCATCGTCTTGATGTCGATGTAGTCCTCGGCGTCTGGTTGTTGAGCTTCAACGTCCTCCTTGGTGAATGACCTGCCCGTCGGCGTGATGTGTCTTCGGGACTCTCCAAAAAGCAACTTGGTGATGTTTGCACATGTCTCCTGATAGGATCTTGGCAGCTCGTCCAGGACGGCGCTCATGTTCCTTCGCAAATCATCCCATGTTTCCTGGCCACACTGGGAAAGCTCTAAACCTATTCGGCCAACCCGCCATCCGCAGTCAATAGCGAACAAGGTCGCTGTCCAGTATGCGGCGAGGCGCGTGCGATTTTCTTCAGAGTTGGCGAAATGCCACTGGTCTCTGAATTCCATCGCATCGGCGTACCCCTTCGCACGCAGCCACGGATACTTCGGATTGGCAAGCCCTTGCAGGCTGCTGGTTAGAGCTTTGAACTTTGGCTCCAATGCATCAAAGAACTGGTCAAAGATAGGATGGATGCCATAGTCAGCAGACCAAGGCGCGGTCGTGAGACCGGCCGATTGCAAATCCAACTCCCGGGCCTTGTTGACAAACCAGGTCAAATGGCGCTCACAATCGTCCATGATCGTGGGCCAGTGCCCGTTGGGACCGTCGTACGGCCAATTTGGATTTTGGGCAATCCCATCCTCACCTACCAATTCATTTCCGAACCAGGACAAATGCAGGTTGATGCGGGCATCAGGATAGCGCTCGCGGGCGTCCGCGGCCAATTCAATCCCACGTTTGACCAACTTCTGCAGAGTTTTGCCCCAGAGCATCTCATGGATGAACTCAGTCACATACTTAGGCTTACGCTGCCGGTAATGCTCGGACAGATCGTATTTCTTAAGTGTTTTCCTACGCCCTGTGATCAGTGGACATGACGAGTCAGAGACTAAGATCCAGATTACTTCATTGACAGGCATCTCTGGCAACATGATCTTTTCGATGTGGGACTCCTTTGGCAAAAAGCAGAAGCTAAGGTATTCTGCAAGCGGATCCTCTCGACCGTAGAACCTCAGGGCCGAGGCCGGCGTCCATTCGGTCATCAATCCATCCACGAGGTCCTGAGAAACCTGAGTCTCACCTTCATTGCGCATGGCCAATGCAAACAAAATGCGATTGTGAAGGAGTAACCATGCTTCTTTGTTAGCCTCACGTGTGGCTTCGAGCGCAGCCTCGCGGCTGGCCGGGTGTGCTGTGGCAAATCGCGAGTCAGCCATTTTAGCAGGACAAGCACGAATTACAGCGGGTGAAATCCTTTTGGATGTTTGGCCCACCACAGCTACCCGGAAACACTCATGGAGCATGTCGGTCAACTTGAAGGTATAGTTCTCAGCAAGTTTAAGAGCTTTGCCCCTACTTTGATCATGCTCATGTTTGCCATCACATTTGAATGAGTCTAACACCGCAAGTTCTTTGAAGTTTCCTGCAATGGTCCAACTTTTCTTCATTGGTTGACCGTTGTTTCCAAGAACACCCAACATGCAACCATCAAAGTGATGAGTAGTCATGGATCGTTCTATGAGGAATTTTCTAACCATCGGCCATCTCCAATATTTGCAACTCTTGGACAGTTCAAATGCTATCAAGGTTCGTTCATCATAAACTTCATCCACAAGTTTGACAAAAGATTTGAACAACTTGGTAAACTGTTTTTGTTGCTCCTTGATTCTTTCTTGACCCTCAACAGTAAGGCCATTTACGTTCCCCCATGGGCTACCTCCAACACAAGGCAATGATGCATAAAGTATCAAAGTGCCGTCATTGAAATCATTTCTGAAATCTTGGACTTGGGAGGCTAGCCGTTGCCGACAGCTGGTAGTGGTACCATCATCTTTTTCGGTAACCCTAACGCAGTGGCAATCTTCATTGGACTTTCTTGGGGTACTAAGCTTCGAATCGTCAGAGCAGCAAAATTCGATCAACATT